TCCCAAACTTGACAATTTTAAGGCATGTGGACTTCAACTCCCAGAATTCCACAGCCAGCGTTGCTGGCTGTGGAATTCTGGGAGTTAAAGTCCTCATGCCTTAAAATTGTCAAGTTTGGGAAACACTGGAATATATGAACAAAGATTTTACAGGAAAGTCTATACCAGCTTTCAATTTCAGGTCAAAAGGGGTAGATTTCACTGTCTATAGTTCCTTGCAACGGTGGCTGAGAAGCATGGGATACAAAGCCTCGAACTAGGAAAGACGAACTTTACTACAAATGGGTGATGCTGTATATTACTGTCCCAGGGAACGATGCTTATAACCAGCAAATTTGTCAGAAATTCTGCTAACGATCAGACGGGTATTAGATTTGTAAGCTGCCCAGAGTCGTTTGGTTGAGATTGGCTGCTATAGCAAGTAAGGAAATAAGTAACTAAAAAAGGTAGGTAGGTAGGTAGGTAGGTAGGAAGGAAGGAAGGAAGGAAGGGAGGGAGGGAGGGAGGGAGGGAGGGAGAAAGGGTGGGAAGGAGGGGAGGGAGAGGAAAGGAAGGAAGGAAGGAAGGAAGGAAGGAAGGAAGGAAGGAAGGAAGGAAGGAAGGAAGGAAGGAAGGAAGGAAGAAAATAGTGAGGGAGAAAGAGAGGGAGGGAGAAAGGGTAAGAGGGAGGGAGAGGAAAGAAAGAAAAAAGAAAAAGAAAGGAAGGAAGGAAGGAGGAGACAGGGAAGAGAGAGAGAAAGGAAGGAAGGAGGGAGGGAAGGAAGGAAGGAAGGAAGGAAGGAAGAGAAAGGGAGGGAGGGAGAAAGAGAGGGAGGGAGGGGAGGGAGAGGAAAAACAGAAAGAAAAAAGAAAAAGGAAGGAAAGAAGGAAGGAAGGAAGGAAGGAAGGAAGGAAGGAGGAAGCAAGCAAAGAAATACAGATTCTCACTTAGAGCTCTGTAACCTCTATCAATTCCTAGACACCCAGTTACAATTCATTTAATTTTGAGGCTTGAAATTAATTATGAAATTTACCGACTTCTTAGCAACTGAATTGTTCTTTCTTCCTTGCTTTGAAAGAAAACTACATTGTTACAACCCCATTGCTATTTTCTTTGCCTTCTTAACTCAACTTTTCCCCACATTGAGGAGTGATAACACCAAAATATTTTACATACTTTGAAGCTGTGTTTTCTCGGTGATGGAAAAAAGGAGGAAAATGCCTCTGTAATGTTGATCCAACTAATGACCACTTAAGATTGACTCACTCACAGGCTGGGGAAGAGATAAAGGACCCAGCAAAGCATTGTTTGCCAACCTTAGCCATGTTAAGATGTGTGGACTTCAATTCCCAGAATACCCCAACTATTCTGGGAGTTGAAGTCCACACATCTTAACATGGCTAAGGTTGGCAATCACTGCATCAGAGAGACACAACAGAAAAGTGAATTGACTGCAATGTGTTTGCATCATGGTTTGACATAAAGGGAGAGTGAGTCTACATCATAACAAACAAGCAAATATAGACAATCCTCAACTTATTGCCACAACTGAGCCCAAAATTTATGTTGCTAAGCGAATTTTGGCCCATTTTACAACCTTTCTTGCCACAGTTGTTAAGTGAATCACTGCAGTGGTTCAGTTAATAATTCGGTTGTTCAGTGAATCAGGTTGCCCCATTGACTTTGCTTGTCAGAAGCTTGCAAAAGGGGATCACATGACCTCGGGATACAGCGACCGTCATTAATATGAATCAGTTGCCAAGTGTCTGAGTTTTGATCACGTGACCATAGGGATGCTTGCAGTGGTCGTAAGTGTGAAAAATGGTCATACGTCACTTTTTCAGTGGCATTATAACTTTGAACTAGCTGTTTTAGCTATAAGTCATACAAATAAAAAAACAAAATCCACTTTATAGTATTACACTTAAATCTAAGCTAAAGCTGCAATTTTATAAGAAAGAAGACAGAAAGAAAGAAAGAAAGAAAGAAAGAAAGAAAGAAAGAAAGAAAGAAAGAAAGAAAGAAAGAAAGAAAGATTTATGATGTTAAATTTATGTCATACACCATCCGTGTATACATCATGCGCCTCTTAAACTGCTTTTCTGTTTTTCTATCTTCTATTCAGAATTTCATACACCAGATCCCTTATAATACTCTCGATAACCAGTAAGCAAGCAGGTAGGAAATCCTTAGATTATGGTTGCCTAACCCAATTTCTGCAGTCAACTGCTTGCAGTTGTGTGATTCAGGATGTGCAAAATAATCGTGTTTTGGGAACTTCACTAATACCAAGCTAGTTTGAAAATTCTGTTTCATTTCCTCTTCTTCTAGCTTATTCTTATATTCGTTTCTTGCTTATTAAAAAAAAATGTTCATGAGTATAACAGAGGAACTCACCATGCTAAAAATGCGCAGGAAAATGGGATTGATTTTATGTTTTAATTCAGGGATCTCTTTCATACTTTCATGCTCTGCAGGTCCATTCATGATCTATCAGGTGAAAAACAAATAATTTGGCTATTTTCCTCCACTTTGTCTTTCCTTCTTTCTGTAGTTTTGCCTGCTGTAGAAGCTGGCATCTTTTGATTACCTTTTTTGGGCTCCAGAAGTAGTCAGGATCAGGCTCATTAATAGCTGCATGAGACATACAGGTATTCCTCAACTTACATCCATAATTGAGCCCAGTTTTTTTTGTTGCTAAGTGAGATAGTTAAGTGAATTTTGCCCAATTTTACAATCTTTCTTGCCACAGTTGTTAAGTGAATCACTGCAGTTCTTAAGTTAATCACAAGGTTGTTAAGTGAATCTGGCTTCCCCATTGACTTTGCTTATCCAAAGGTTGCTAAAAGGTGATCACATGACCCCAGGATACTGCAACTGTCATAAACATGAGCCAGTTGCCAAGCGGGTGAATTTTGATCACATGACCATGGAGCTGCTGCAACGTAAGTGTAGAAAACAGTCAAAAGTCACTTTTTTCAGTGCTCTTCTAACTGTGAACACTCACTAAATGTACTGTTGCCAAGGACTACCTGTATACCAGAGAATCATAGAGCTGTAGACTAAATTGGGAAATTGCAAAGTCATCCTGTTTTCAACCTTGGCAGCTTTCAGATGCGTGGACTTCAACTCCCAGAATTCCCCAGCCATTCATGGGAGTTGAAGTCCAAATTTCTGAAATGTGTGACCATGGTTCAGTCGCAAATATCCATAAATTCAGTTGCCGAGCCCCTAAAGAGGAAGAAATGACCATCAGAACTTCAAATCCAGGTCGTAAGTAATTCCAATGTGGATCTGTGAGAACTTCAGTCAGTCACTAAGCAACTAGTCATAAGTAGAGGACTACCTATATGAAAACCATAAGGCACACCATACACACACCAAGGCTCCAATATATAATTCCTTCAATAATAATTATTTAACCATAAAACATAGAATAACAGAGTTGGAAAGAATCTTGGAGATCTTCTTGTCCAGCCCTCCACTCAAGTAGGAGATCTTATACCAGGGGTAGGCCACCTTGGCTCTTTTATGACTGGTGGACTTCAACTCCCAGAATTCCTGAGCCAGCATGACTCAGCTTGGAAACCTCTCCCTTTCCCCTCAGCATGGCTGGCTCAGGAATTCTGGGAGTTGAAGTCCACCAGTCATAAAAGAGCCAAGGTGGCCTACCCCTGGTCTAGGCCTAGGCCGCTTTATGACTTATGGACTTCAACTCCCAGAATTCCTGAGCCAGCATGGCTCAGCTTGGAAACCTCTCCCTTTCCCCTCAGCATGGATGGCTCAGGAATTCTGGGAGTTGAAGTCCACGAGTCATAAAAGAGCCAAGGTGGCCTACCTCTGCCTTATACCATTTCAGAAAAATGGTTGTCCCGTCTCTTTTTGAAGGCCTCCAGTGATGGAGCACCCACAACCTCTGGAGGCAAGCTACTTCCTTGTTTGATCTCTCTCACCATTAGGAAATTGCTCTTCAATTCTAGGTTGCCTCTCTCCTTCGTTAGTTTCTATCCATTGTTTCTTGCTCTGCCTTCAGGTGCTTTGGAAACTAGTCTGACCCCCTCATCTTTGTAGGAGCCCTTTAAATATTGGATGATTGAGATTGTTACTGGAAATATTGGAACCACAGAGATTCCAACTCTCCAACTAAAACCATTGAGGAACAGGATGCTGGGTTGTCCTGATAGACCAGGATTGATATTACTGGAGCCCTGCTAAGCTCTGTGTCCAGAATGACACCCCAAACAGCCTACTGTAACCTTACGACAAACTAGGATTAGTTCACCTAGGCGTGGTTCCTCTCTAGACTACCTCGCAAGGCGGATAATCCATGACTGTGATGCTTTACAGCAAATGTCTGAATGATTCTTTCCAAGCAAGATCTTCTTGATGCTGATTTGTTGGTTCATAACCAATCAATCTATCATTTTAATACAATAGGATGAGATGCAAAGGATGGTTTTGGAAGACTTCTAATCTTGAGCTGATTCACACTCTTATTTGTTAGTTTTCCTAAGTAAGGCAGTACAAAAAAAATGATCAGCAACTTTCAAACATGCAAGAATAACAGGATAGCAGAATTGGAAGGGACCTTGGAGGTCTTCTAGTCCAACCTGCTGCTCAAGCAGGAGATCCTATACCATTCCAGACAACTGGCTGTTCAATCTCGTCTTAAAAACCTCCAGTGATGGAGCACCGACAGCTTCTGAAGGCAAGCCGTTCCTCTGATTAATTGTTCTCATAGTCAGGAAGTTTCTCCTTAGTTCTAGGTTGCTTCTCTCCTTGATTAGTTTCATCCATTGCTTCTTATCCTGGCTTCGGGTGCTCTGGGGAATAGGTTGATCCCCTCTCTCTTTGTGGAAGCCCCTCAAATATTGGAACACTGCTATTATGTCACTCCTCATCCTTCTTTTCAAATGAGCTAACTAGAGGAATCCAGTAAGTAATGCTAAACTAAGCATCTTTAGAGACCAGTACAGGGAGAGTTGTTCCTCCAAATTGCCCCCAAAGAATAGACATTGTTCATTCCAAGCTTTTGGCTGTAATGCCTCAATGTGAGCCAGACCTATAGTTTGCAAATGGCTCACTTAGTATAACTATTCACTGGATACTATGATTTCTATTTCTTCGGCTATCACGTAACATCAATAGAGCTAGAATAGAGGATATCTAAGCCTGTAGCACAGTGGTTCTCAACCTGTGGGTCAGGACCCATTTGGGGTCGAACGACCATTTCACGGGGGTCGCCAAACAAGGCTGTCCGCCATTTTTCCCCCTTTTCTTTGGACACGGCCCTGGCAACCGGTGATGTATAAGTGATTGGGGGTCACCACAACATGGGGAACTGTATTATGGGGTTGCAGCATTAGAAAGGTTGAGAACCACTGCTGTAGCAGAAGAGGTTTCTGAGAAAGGGGAGGTGTACATTCACAGGAACAGATGGCTAATGTCTGAATGCAGACAGTTATGTACTAAGAGAGTGCCCGCTCCATGCCATCTTTATCCCTGCTACCCATATCTGATGCCAATTAGATTAGACGATCTTTGTTACATTCTGGAATGTTTGAATAAGGCATTAAACACCAGAGTGCCACTTTTACTGTCTTTCAAATTAGACATCTCTTTACCCCACTCATTCACACAGTACAGGTAGTCCTCGCTTAATGCCGGATGCTTAATGACCGTTTGAAATTAAAATATATTTCAAAAAAGCTTCTTGCGACTCACCTTCAAAGTTACAGCTGCCCTGTGGTCATGTGACAGTCACGCCACCACAATTCACAATTGTGTTCTCCAGTAGAAAAAAATCACAAAAAAACCCACCCATTAGAGAGGCAGGATTCATTTAATGACCATGTGATTCACTTAACGACCATGGTGACTTGCTTTACAACAGCCATAAAAGCAGTAGAAACATCCAGGCCAGTCAACTAGTGCCTCAACTTACAACTGCAATGACTTACAAAATCCCAGTTCCACTGTGTTGCAAGTCAAGACCACTGGTAGAACTGATGGAGGAATTATCAGTGGTGTAGAATGCCGTGTGTGTGTGTGTGTGTGTGTGTGTGTGTGTGTGTGTGTGCGCGCGCGCGTGTGTGTCAGAGGTCTGGAATGAAGAGACCTCTTTTCAATATTAACCTAAGCTATTGCATGAGTTTGGAATTTCACACTAACAGGATGGGTGATGGTTGATCAGCATAATACTGATGCTGCAAACCCTGTTTCCTTAGAGATGGCAGACACTCAGCATGAAAGGACTACTGGTGCAGATGAGAAGAAAGCAGTGGAAGACCTGCCTCTTCCTCCTCCTCTTCCTCACCTCCAGGACTCTCCTGCTGCTCCAGGGACACCGGATTCCGGTTCTCTTCCTTTACCTCCACCTAAAGAATCCTTCTCCAAGTTCTACCAGCAACGCCAAGTAAATGAGTTGAAAAGACTTTACCGCCACATGCATCCTGAGCTCAGGAAAAACCTGGAAGAAGCCGTGTCAGAAGACCTGGCAGAAATGTTGAGTCCAGATGACCCGAATGAGCCAGTCATGGCGACTCCAGATGTGGTGGTTCCAGGCGAAGTTCAATCCATGCGTTGGATCTTTGAGAACTGGTCCCTGGACTCCATTGGGGAACGTCAAGCTGCTAAAAACCTGGCTGAGGACGAAGCCAACCCAAGTGGAGATGTAAAGAACAGGTCCATGAAGTTTGAAAGCCAGCCTTCTCATGGAGACGGGCTGCTCACTTCAGCCAAAGCATCGGAACTACAAGAAACTAAAGGAGACGTACATACTGCTCGGTGGTTATTTGAAACTCAACCTTTAGACTCTTTAAACAAAATGTACTTGGATGAGACAGATGTTCAAGAAACACTTCTGAAGGAGCCTGTTGAGAGAGGGAATGTGAAAGGAGCAGCACAACTTTTTGAAACTCATTCCTTAGAAGCTTTGGGTCACTGCAACTCTGTGGAGGAGGAGAACATCCTGCAGCTGAAGTCAGAAATTCAGGAACTCAAAGGCGGTGTCAAGAAAACCATCAAGCTTTTCCAGACTGAACCCATCTGTGCTCTCCAGGATAAGACAGGAAGCATTCATGAGATCAAGTCCATCTGTAGAGAAGAAACACAGACCAACTCAGTGAAGATAGCTCGGTGGCTGTTTGAAACCCAGCCATTGGACACTATCAACAAGGATACTTCCAAAGTGCAAGTTATTCGTGGAATATCTCTAGAGGAAACTGCCAAGGGAAATGTCAGTGGAACAAAATGGGTGTTTGAAACTCAACCTCTAGATGCCATAAGGGAATTCACAGTGTCCGAAGCCGATTTCAAAGCGTCTCCAGATCTAATCCAAGGAGCTGATGTTAGCAAACAGTGCCTACTTTTTGAGACTCAACCTCTTGACAGTCTGAAAGGTGAATTCTCCAGCAGCCCTCCAGCTAAGGAAGAAGTTATCAAAGGGGACGTGAAATCAACCCTCTGGTTATTTGAAACACAACCTATGGAAACCCTGAGGGATCATTTTGAAGTTGGACATTTAAAAAAAGTAGAGCTTTCAAAAGATGAGAAAGGAGCTGTGAAGCAAACAAAGCATCTTTTTGAGACCTGCCCTTTTGGAAGCATCTCAAAATCTCCAGATGAAGATTTCTGCACTGCACCTGTCCAGGAGGTAGAGAAAGGGGACGTGAAAGCATTCAAGAGCCTCTTTGAGACACTTCCTCTAGATAGCATCAGGCAAGTCAGCACTGAGGAGGTTACCAAGGAAGAAGAAGACATCCTTTCTGGGCAGGTGAGAAGCAATCATCTCCTGTTGGAATCAACACCTTTGTACGCCATTAAGGACAGCTTTGGCCACTTCCATCAGGTCACATCTGTAAGTAGAGACGAAGAAGTGACCAGTGGAGGTGTGAAGAACTACAAATGGATGTTTGAAACCAAACCTTTAGATGAGTTTGATGGGAGCATCCAAAAAGTGGATGTGATCAGGGGCATCACTAAGCAGGAGATCATGGCTGGAGATGTTCAGACAGCCAAATGGCTCTTTGAAACCCAACCCATTGATGTCATCCACAGCCAAGTCAACCAAGAAGAGCAGAACATTTCTGAGAAAAGGGAAGTTTCTCAAGGAGGAGATGTAAAGACTTGCCGGTGGTTGTTTGAGACACAGCCAATTGATGCCCTATGTGAGAAAGATGAGATGAAGGAGAACCAAGAAGACCCTGTGCCTCAAGCTGATGTCAAATCATATACATGGATGTTTGAAACTCAACCTCTGGATACCCTGAAAGGTCAAGAAGAACAACACTTACAGATCAGAAAGACCTCCCGCCAGGAGGAATTACAAGGGGTAGATGTGAAAACTGCCCGGCACCTCTTTGAAATGGAACCTCTTTCCAGTAATATCCCTGGAAATAGCCAGAAAATAATCAGGTGCTCCAGCCGGGTGGAGATACAGTCTGGAGAGGTGTCCAGAGTAAAAGAGTTCTTTGAAGCCAAACCTTTAGATACTGCAGCTAAACCATGGACAGTCATAAAAGAAAGCCCAGTAGATGGGAACATTGAACCTGGAGCTGTGCCCAAGTTCACCTGGCTTTTTGAAAACTGCCCCATGGACACCTTGAAGAGCAGTGCTGAGAGTCTCCAAGAGACAACTCTGGAAAAGAACATTCAAGGTGGAGATGTTGGGGGCAAAAGATTCATTTTTGAAACCTTCTCTCTCGATCAGATTCATGAAAAAGAGAATGAGGCACTAATCCAAAAAGTCCATGAAGAAACATCAGAAAAAGCCAATGTCAACTGTTGTATTATGCTGTTTGAGACCCAGCCCCTTTATGCTATTCAGGACAGAGATGGGGGATACCATGAAGTGACTTCGGTGAAGAAGGAAGAAGTCATAAAAGGTGATGTGAAAGGCGCCCGATGGCAATTTGAGACAAAACCATTGGATCAGATCAAGAAAGATGATGAGGTCTTTGTGATCCGAGCTGTAACGCAAGAAGATTTCAAGAAAGGAGATGTCCAATCAGCTAGGTGGAGATTTGAAACAGAGCCTCTTGATTCCATTGCTGAAGAAAAGAAGCCTACCTTGAAGAGTGTTGAGGACATACAGAAGGGAGATGTCCAATCGAACAAGCAACGTTTTGAGTCAGAACAACTCAGCCAAAAGAAGTACGTGAGGATGGTTAGCGTCAGTGATGTCCAGCAAGGGGATGTAAGGACATCCACCTGGCTTTTTGAAAATCAGCCCATGGATTCCTTGAAAGGAGACTCTGAAGGTGCCAGCAACTTGACCACAGTCCAGAGAGAAGATATCCATAAAGGAGATGTCAAACGCTGCACTTGGCTCTTTGAGACTCAACCAATGGACAGACTCAGAGATACAGAGGCTTCAATAAGCACAGAGTCCCTGAAAGGGATTCCTCAGGCCTGTGTAAAAAGCACTACATGGTTGTTTGAAAGTACCCCCTTGGATAAATTCAGCTCTCTTCAACGCGGCAGAGAAATAGAGGCGAAAGAGAGGACATCAACAGATACTTTGGAACTGTTGTTCTCCCATCAACTGATCCAAAAGAATGGCATCCTTATTGAAGCCAATAACATTGAGGGTATCAAGATGGCGACATATCAGCTTAGTAACCAGGAAGCCCCCCAAGTCCAAAAGGAAAAGATTGTAGAAGACAATTTGCATATGATCTTGTTGCAATTACTTCAGAATAGCAACTTGGAGGCCAGCGGGTTACTAGTGAGAGAAGAGGACAATGGAGCTATCAAAATTACTCCCATACAGCTGTTGGACACTAACAAAGCTGAAAAAAGCAAAGAGGACATGAGGAATGACATGGCAAGGAGTCTTCAAGAACTTCTTAACCAAGAGATCTCAGTTAAGAAAGGAATAGTTATGCAGGAGACCGACACAGGATCAACAAAGGTGATTATTTATTCTCTCCATCAGTGGGTGGCTGAACAGCATACATTTGTTAAAGGCGATGTAAAGTCAGTGATCGGGAATCTTCTGACTTCTTCACAAGAGCAGAGAACCACAGCAACCGTCAGACGAGAGGATAACGAGAAGGGGAACGTCCAATTGTACACTCGCTGCATCGAGAAGGGAGATCTTGACTACTTAAAGAACCTACAGAGGGACTCAGAAATAGAATCGCTAGTTTCTTCACAAGCAAAAGAAGAACCGCCAAAAATTGGGCAAGAGATCACAGCATCAACCCTGGTGCAGAACAAGGAAGATGTGGTGACAGCAGATGTGATCCAAGGGAATCACAAGTCTGCTGAGCAAGCATTCTTGTGGAAGACCCAAGAAGATGCATCAGAAAGAGAAACCCCCAATGCAAATAATCAAAGTTACACTCCCTGTCATTTGGTACACTGTGGGACCCCATCACCATCCAAAGAAAACATAGTTCCTCCACCTGTCACATTGCCATTCCAGCTGGTGGAAGGAGCCCAAAATAGTGGCCAAAGAACACCAGGACAACAAATAATTCTGGTAGATGGAAAGGAAAGAACATCCGTACAAGTGGCAGATCAGAAGATGGTTGAAGTTCTCCACGGTTTTAAGGCAGGAGAAATCAACTCAACAACAGTTCAATCCCCAACACAGGTTCCTGGGAACGATTTTCAAGCTGCAATGCACAGCCTAAGGAAAGCTACAGCAGAAGCCAAAACTCTGCAGCAGCAAGTGCAAAGTAAGCTGCAAAAGATGACCGACAACATGCAACTGTGCGGCACCCAACCCTGCGCAGCAACGTTGCAAAGCACAATACCTAAAGAAGGCTGTGAGGCTAGCAAGCAACAGCCAGGTAGCAATGTGTCCTCTTCAAGAAGGCAGGAGGCATTCCAGCCTGGTGTCAGTCTGTCTCAGAAGAGCCCGGCATCCTTACCCCTAAAGGTCAGTGACCCTGAGGACGGACAGGGAGGGACAAAGCCTACTGGGGCCCATCAAGTTGGCCAAGTGTTACCTAGGGCAGATCTTAGTATTAAGGATGGCCTTTACGCAGCCAAGCCCGTGAAGTCCTATGTAAATCCATTCCTTGAATCAGACTACCAAGAGCACTCCGTTCCTGAAGAACGTGAGGAAGACGTTATAATCAGAGGGGATGTAAAGACAGCTATCAGAGCCCTGCAGAATGCTGCCACTGAGCAGAGACAAGTTGAGAAAGAGGACGTGGTCTGCGGCAACTTAAAAGCCGCACTCAAGTCTCTGGAGAAGTCTAATGTTAATGTGTCCCAAGGGGATTTTAAAGCAGCCATGATATACAGGAATGCAGGGCAATCTCATTCCATGGGTAAAAAGAAACAGGAGGTTGAATGTGTTAGTGACCAGACAGTTACTGTAGCCCCTGCAGGCTCCCGAGATGTTAATGACTTTCCTCCTCCTCCTCCTCCTCCTCCTCCTCCTCCTCCTCCTCCTCCTCCAGCTTCACTGATGAGACCGGATGTCCATGCAGCCTCATCCCAACCAAGACAGGCTGAAGGTCGTTGCTGTTCCCCATCCATGCAGCCATGTGACCTCAAAACTCCCTTGTCTTCCCCAACCAAAACTAGTCATCAGAGACCTTCAGAGAAACCACAACTGCCACCCAAGCCTGATGTGATCGCCCCACCAAGGAAAAAGCCTGTGATCCCCCCAAAACCAGAATTCCTTTTGAAGGAGGGACCCCTCCACCCTGCTGGTGGCAACAGAGGGCAACTAGGAAAGACACCTCGGCTTCCTTCTCCTTCCAAGTCTCCCACCTTGATTGAACAGAACAAGCCATGTGGAGCTGAGATTTGGGGACAATCGGAATGTAAAGAGGATTCAGCTACATGTCCTTCACACGCAGTGACCAATGTTGAGGACATCAGTGTTGAGAAGAAGTCAATAAAAGATATCACAAAGTTGCCTCTGCAGGATGAAGAAGATAAATCTAAGGCAAGGAAAGAGAAGAGAGCCAGAGTGGACTTGACTGGCCACAGCTCTTCATTAGAGGCAATAAAAACTGGATTGGATAATTCTCAAGAAGGGAATTGTTATCTAGCCAAAGACTTTCAAGAGATCCAGGAGACATCTCAAGAAGAAAAGAGAGGTGCCTTATCTGAGAAGCAAGATCCTCTCACACCTTTTGAATGCCAAATGAATCTTCCTAACCTAGAAGTTCACAGGAAGCCATATTTGTCTGCCAAATGCCATGCCAATGTTCTGAGGAAAGGAACAGTCATGACACAGGTCATATCATCCAAGTCAGGAACAACAAGCATGGAATCACAGACAGACAGGCCAGCATCTGCTCTTTTGGTGTCCTCAGATTTAGAAGGCAAACAGGTTTTAACAAGACCTCAGATTGCAAACAGTGGTAGCTCAAGAGATCCAGAAATAAAGAATGACTGGGATACAGAGAAGGGAAATCTGGTAGTGGTCATGAGGGAAAAGGTTGGCAAAGAAACTGAAGAAGAACGTCGCAAGAGATTATCCGTCCATAAAGAGGAGATCATGAAAGGAAACGTCAAGGAAGCCATGGAGATATTTGAAAACTTAAGGAAACAGGAAGCTCTAGAAGAAATCTTAACTCAAGTGAAGGAGTTTGAAGAGGAGACCTCAAAGGTGGATGTCAAAGCCTTGAGAAATCTCTTTGAGAATGTGCCCGATTGGGTGGTAGATGAAAAGCCACAGCAGACAAAACAGCCCAAAGTAGAGAAAGCTGAACAGTTGAAGGAACTTAGAGAAGATTTAGAGAGTGTATCATCGGTGGAGTTAGCTTTTGAAGATCTGGAGCGAGCCAGTGCTGAAATTGTTCATTTGAAGGAGCAGACCCTAAGTAGACTCCTGGATATTGAAGATGCCATTAAGAAAGCTCTATTTTCCATTTCTAGTCTCAAGTCTGAATCAGACATAGCTGGACTTTCAGGTCTTCTGAAGGAATCACTTGAAAATTCTCAAAGTCTTGCAGCGGGGAACAACATCCGCAAAATCAGTATTATATCCAGCAAAGCCAAACAAGAAAAAGGGACATGGGAAGGAGAGAAGGTGGCTGATCAGCACAAGGTACCCAAATTCTCCCTTGAACTTCCGCATGTGATTCAGCCACGATCAAGTTCTCCTTCTTCTCCGTCCTACATCTCCATTCAATCTGCTGCACGGAAAAGTACAGAATCACCCCAAATTGTGCCTTTAGTTTCACCTCACCCCATGGAAGCGGCCACTGAAAGAGAGACATTCTCTCCCAATCTTTTCAGCTCCTTGCCAAGTAAACCAATGAGATCCGATCCCTACAGCAGGACTGTCAGTGAAGGGAATCAGGAGGTCATCCAAATTAAAACAGGAGGAAGTTTGATTAAACAGCAACAGCTCAGCAGTCCTGGACATTTGGCTCAACAGCTGAACACTAATGGCACCAAGGAAAAGGATACAGTCCAAGGGGGAGCTTCTTCTGATTACAACTCCAAGACTTCTTTAAGTGCTTTAAGTCCCTCCAATCCTAGGAGACAGAAGAGTATTCTAGAATTGCAAACAAGCCATGATGGATCCAAACTCTATGGGGCTACCCGGACAGTGACTGAGCAATATGAGGAGGTAGATGAATTTGGAAACAAAATCATCACATCGTCCACAACCGTCACCAAACAGTCAGAGACTCAGACTTCCTCCACTTGTGATATGGTGTCTTGCCCAACTAGATATGAAGTGACAGCTTCTCCGATACTTCGTCGATATCTCAACAGCCCAGCCAATTTCCCTTCAGGTGATGGTCACCAAGAAACAGGGGTGGTCTTTGTTACCTTTAGCAACTCCAAGCCAGTGAAGAAATAAGCAAACGTCCTTGAACTGAGCTGTTGAGGTCAACAAGGTCATTGAGGTTGACCATTTAGCATTCAACCACTTTGATTGGATTTAAAAAGGACTCTGCTGATTGAAACCCATAAGCAATGTTCTTATTCTTGTGGCCATTGCTCTTTTTTAAAGAAAGAATGGAAAAAACTCTTTGCCCTCCAAATAATAGTCTTAATGTTGGGCATGAGTCTAAGATGTTCCTTCAAAGCTAAAAAAGCTGAAGATTAAAAGGACTTCCAACTCAACAGAAATCCAAGTTTCTAGTTCCAGAGAGAGAGAAAAGAAAAAGACCAAACTAAAAAATAAAATACATAGATGGCTGCTTTCAAAACCATCTTTCACAGCTGAAGATGTTTGCCTTAGATATTCATCTCATCAGTGACAAATTATGGTCCTCAAATAGCAATTCAACCTTTTGAAGGTTGATTTTTTTTTAATGCGTGTCTTTAGGTCAGTCTCAATTCCTAGCAACTGCCTGAATTAGTTCCTGAATTTTCCCCAGCAACATTTTTGGAAGTGGTTTGCCATTGCCCCTTTCCCAGGGCTGAGAGAGAGTGACTGGCCCAAGATCACCCAGCTGACTTTGTGCCTGAGGTGGAACTAGAACTCACGATATCCTGGTTTCTAGCCTTGTGCCTCAACTGTTACACCAAACTGGCTGTCCTTTTGAGAAATATACTAATTTTCTGGCCCTTTTTGCTATTAGCCTGACAATTTGCTTCTCTGTTTTTCTTTTTTGTACTTCAAGAGAAATTTCCCAAATTCTTTCTCTGATAGAGATACATCACAAAATGAGTGTGGGGAATACTCCCCAAATGGAAGTAGAGAGTTTATCCCTTTTATTACACTTTTCATTGGGCAGATTTGTTAGCACTATTTATCAAGAGTTACATATTAGAGAAAATTACAGAATTTTAAGAATTTTCTTCACTGCAGTCCCCGCTGATGAAAAACGGGGAACATATTTTCTAGTTAAACAAGGAAAGCAGTTAAACATATTGATAATGATTTTATTAGCCTCTTTTTTATTTTAGGATTGTAATTTATTGATTGTTACTATGTATTTTACTCTAGAGCCTCTTGCAACCACCTTTAAGTCAATTATATAAATTTTATTATGCCTTTTTTGTATATTCTCAACCAAACATTTTAGATATCCTGTGGGTTTTTTTTTTAACCTGCATATAAAAGATAAACAATGACTTCTGAAAAATAGTTTGTGGCTTGTTTTTCTTGCATTGATTATTTGCTTTATTTTGGCTGAAAGGGCTCAAATTCCTCTGAATTCTCACTTTCTCTTCATGAGTTGGTTCAGACTGATAACAACACTTCTTGGATAAAAGATGGCTGAGTATACCCATTCAAAGCCAATAGTTAATAGCAAAAACAACAATTATAATACTTAGTCCCATCACCCACCTTTTTTTCTTTTATGTAAATTTTAACACAGAGAAAAAAAATGTTTCTCCTATCATTTGGTAATAAAAAGTTATCAGTGATCACCTACTGTAGAAACAGCAATGCTTCTTAACCTCAGCAATTTTAATATGGGTGGACCTCAACTCCCAAGGCTCTCTAGTCAGCATAAATGGCTGGAGAATTCTGGGAGTTGAAGTCCACCTATCTTAAAGTGACCAGGATGGAGAAACATTGCTGTATACAGGTAGTAGTAGTAGTAGTAGTAGTAGTAGTAGTAGTAGTAGTAGTAGCAGCAGCAGCAGCAGCAGCAGCAGCAACAACAACAACAACAACAACAATAATAATAAAGTTGAAAGGGACCTTGGAGGTCATCTAGTCCAACCCCCTGCTCAGACAGGAAACCCTACATCATTTCCGACAAATGGCTGCCCAGTCTCTTCTTAAAAACTTCCAGTGTTGGAGCATTCACAACTTCTAGAGGCAGGTTGTTCCACTGGTTAATTGTTCTCACTGTCAGGAAGTTTCTCCTTAGTTCTAGGTTGCTTCTCTCTTTGATTAGTTTCCACCCGTTGCTTCTTCTCCTGCCCTCAGGTGCTTTGGAGAATAGCTTGACTCCCTCTTCTTTGGGGCAGCCCCTGAGATACTGGAATACTGCTATCATGTCCCCCCTCGTCCTTCTCTTCATTAAACTAGACAGACCTAATTCCAGCAGCCATTCCTCATATGCTTTATACAGATCATTCTTCACTCACAACCATTTCTGTAGCTGCTGTTTGAAGTTACACTGGCATTGAAAGAAGTGACTTATGACCGGTCCAACAGTTGAAATGACATAAAGATCATTCCATGGTTGTTTTTATAATACAGGTAGTCCTCAAATTATGTCCTTTCATTCAGTGACTATTCAATTTTATGACAGTGCTGAGGAAAGGACTTATGACTGGTTCTCAAAGTTCGAGGAGACTTTCTGATAAGTGATTTTGGGTCATGAAGGAAGAACTTTGGGAAGCACACTCTCAAAGGTGGTTTTTCAGGAAGCAAATGAACTTCCTTTTTTTTCCTTTGAAGACGTTTCGCTTCTCATCCAAGAAGCTTCTTCAGCTCTGACCGGATGGAGAGGAATGGAGGGATTTATATTCCTTGCAGATCTTTCCATTCCCCACCCTCCAGTCAGAGCTGAAGAAGCTTCTTGGATGAGAAGCGAAACATCTTCAAAGAAAAACAAGAAAATCCAGTTGCCTCCTGAAAAAGCATCTTTGGGACAACTATGATCTGGATGACTGAGAATCTCTGCAGACATCTGGGAAGCACTGGCTTAGAAATGGCAGGAAACCCTTGAGGACAAATAAAATAAAGCAGATGGTTTATCCTATAGTAAACCTCCTCCAGGAAATTGAAGTCACTACATTATAGTCAGTGGTTAGAATAGAATAGAGCTGGAAGGGACCTTGGAGGTCTTCTAGTCCATCCCCCTACTCGAGAAGGAGAGCCTATACCAGGGGTAGGCAACCTTGGCTCTTTTATGACTCGTGGACTACAACTCCCAGAATTCCTGAGCCAGCCATGCTGAGGGGAAAGGGAGAGGTTTCCAAGCTGAGCCATGCTGGCTCAGGAATTCTGGGAGCCAAGATGGCCTACCCCTGGCCTATACCATCTCAGACAAGTGACTGTCCAGCCTCTTCTTAGAAACCTCCAGTGACGGAGCACCCATGATTTCTGGAGGCAAGCTGTTCCACTGGTTAATTGTCCTCACTGTTAGGAAGTTTCTCCTTAATTCCAGGTTGCTTCTTTGGTGATTTTGGTTACCAAAGTACATGAGAAACATAGGCGAAATTAACTGATATCTCAAGTCAAAAAGAAAAATCAAACCATTTTTTTTCCTGTATTCTGAGCTTTTCCCCATGGATCTCAAGACCAAGTTGAAGGATTAACATATGCTGTACTTCTGGCTACAATTCAAGAAGCAGTTTATCACAATTTGGAATGGATCAGGCTATTTGAAGGATTGTCTCTCCCCTATTACATCCACCCAACCCATCAGGATGGGAAGTCAGGCCATGTCCTATTGCAGTGGTGGCGAATGGGTGCCAGAAGCAGCACTCAGAGCCCTCTCTGTAGGCACACGTGCCGTTGCCCCAGCCTTGCTCTCCCCCGTGACCCCCTTCTCTTCAGCAGCCCCCCTGAAGTAGAGTTGCCCCCGAGCATGGGGGTCATAAAAGAGCCAAAGTTGCCTATTCCTGATATAGGGTGCCATGCTGGTAGAGGAATTCTGGGAGTTGAAGTCCCCTCATCTTCCTAGTAACTCAGGGGTAGGCCACCTTGGCCCTTTTATGACTCGTGGACTTCAACTCCCAGAATTCCTGAGCCAGCATTGCTCAGCTTGGAAACCTCTTCCTTTCCCCTCAGTATGGCTGGCTCAGGAATTCTGGGAGTTGAAGTCCACAAGTCATGAAAGAGCCAAGGTTGCCTACCCCTGGTCTAGGCCTAGGCCACTTTATGACTCGTGGACTTCAACTCCCAGAATTCTTGAGCCAGCCATGCTGAGGGGAAAGGGAGAGTTTCCAAGCTGAGCCATGCTGGCTCAGGAATTCTGGAAGTTGAAGTCCACGAGTCACAAAAGAGCCAAGATTGCTTACCCCTGGTCTATGCTCTGACTGGGTTAGCTTTGATGGTGCCAAAGATGGTGTCCAGCTTGTTCATGTTCTTGGGAGGCCTGGTTTCCCTTTCCTCACCACCACAATTGAGCCCAAAATATATGTTGCTAAGTGAGATAGTTGCTAAGTGAATGTTTCCCCCTATTACAACTTTTTCGTGTGGCTGCTGATAAAAACAGGATCGCCAACATGGTCGCCAGCATCCGATAACGGATATGGCACAAGAAGAAGAATTACAACCTTACTTGCCACAATTGTTAAGCGAATCACTGCAGTTGTTACATTAGTAACACAATTGTTAAGTGAATCTGGCTTCCCAACTGGCTTTGCTTACCAGAAGGTCGCAAAAGGGGATCAGAACCGTCAACAATATGAACTTTGGTCATGTGACCAAGTGGATGCTGCAATGGCCAAAGTGTGACAAACAGGCATAAGTCACATTTTTTCAGTGCGGTTGCTACTGTTATGGTTCCGTCTAATGAAACAATTCAAAGAACTTCCAGGCATTGATTTCCCTAAAAGTCTTTTATTACTTCAAAATGTCGTCACAGGCATAACGAAGTCTATGCTAAGATCTAAGTTCTCTTCCTCTGAGCAGTTAAATTATTAGCATGTTCCCTCCCTAAATTAGCTGTCATATATCACATTAACCAATTAGTGTGAAGGTCAAAGGTTTCCTTCCTCTTTCTTTCCCGGGCTTTTCCCCCATCCTCTAAGCTCTGTATTAACCCCCAAAATACCAGACAGTTCTGCATATTGTCAAAGCAAGAATATACAGTATTTGCAGCGCTGACAGCTACTTTGAATGGTCACATAAATGAATTGTTGTAAGTCAAAGGCTACCTGTATGTACACCTTCGAAGCATAATTGCTTTCTCCAGTGAATTGCCCCATGTGACACGGCCAAAATAAGCGAGACACAGGTTATTGGTTTTTTTAAATTTTCCCTATAAGGAAAATGCCTTCCCTACAAGATTAAATGTCATACAGGTAGTCCTCATTTTACAAGCAGCTTGTCTGAAGTTACGACAGACCCTGAAAAAAGGGACTTACGACTTAGATTCAAAGTTCATATTTCGGAATCCAGCGTCCAATATTCTCACTGCTGCCCATGATCACATGATCGCATTTGAGTGCTTGGCAACCTGCCTGCATTTATAACCGGTTGCAACGTCCCAAAGTCACGTGACCACTAATTATGTTTTTTCCTGGAAACCAGCATTTCCTTCCAGTTTCTGAAAAAAAACACTCCATAGCAAATAATGGATTCATTTAACAACCAACATAGTCACTTTATAACCACTGCATGCACTTAATGACTGCTGCAAAAAAATTATAAAATTGGGTGCAGACATGTGATGACTCATTATATGACCATCACAACTTATGACCAAAACTGTGGGCTCAAATAAGATGATGAATTAAGGACTTCCTGTACAGGTCAGGATTTATTTTACTGTATTGTAACAGTTGCCTAAACAGAATTTTGCAGATCTGGATGTGTTTTTTCCTCCCTCCCTTTAATTTAGGGATTGAATCAAGATCATGTGTGGTAGTAATACAAGTCTATAAAGCCTTAGTAAGGCCACACTTGGAATACTGCATCCAGTTTTGGTCACCACAATGTAAAAAAGATGTTGAGACTCTAGAAAGAGTGCAGAGAAGAGCAACAAAGATGATTAGGGGACTGGAGGCTGAAACATACAAAGGACGGTTGCTGGAATTGGGTATGTCTAGTTTAATGAAGAGAAGAACGAGGGGGACATGATAGCAGTATTCCAATATCTCAGGGGCTGCCCCAAAGAAGAGGGAGTCAAGCTATTCTCCAGGGCGCCTAAAGGCAGGACGAGAAGCAACCAATGGAAACTGATCAAGGAGAGAAGCAATTTAGAACTAAGGAGAAACTTCCTGACAGTTAGAACAATTAACCAGTGGAACAACCTGCCTCCAGAAGCGGTGAATGCTCCAACACTGGAAGTTTTTAAGAAGAGACTGGACAGCCATTTGTCTGAAATGCTTTAGGGTTTCCTGCTTGAGCAGGGGGTTGGACTAGATGACCTCCAAGGTCCCTTCCAACTTTATTATTATTATTATTATTATTATTATTATTATTATTATTATTATTATTATTATTAGGTCT